GGATCATGACCTGAGCCGAAGGCAGTCGCTTAACCAACTGAGCCACCCAGGCGCCCCAGAAAATACATTTCTGTGAGAAAACAAATTTTTGTTGTTTCAGTCATTCAGTCTGTGGTATTTTATTATGGCAGTGCTGGGACACTGATGACCCAAAGATGAGCCATGGGATTTCATGGGCTTCACCTACTCAGTAGGGGACCACTTACTCTGATTTTAGACACGTTGCAAAACTCAGGTGTCAGAAGCTGAAGAGCGGCAGCAAATCAGGAGGGAATAATATTCTTCTAGAAACAGGCCCAATGATTCAAATGAAATGTAACTGCCAGCAAATTAAATTAATAGCTGATACAAGATAAAGAATCACCCAGCCTCCTAGAAGCAGTCAGTATAGGACAAACATGTCAGCTGGTCCCAGAATCACTCTGTGAAAACCACGGGCAGTGGCCAATGGTCACGCTGTTTCCTAAATCAGGAAGGCATGGGGCTTCCTTCTCTTCTAGGTAAGACCAAAGGCAGCAGTCACCACTAGGAAATATCTTTCTTTTATATTAAGCTCGTTATCATACTCTGGACCCTATGGGGAAGAGGTGCTCTGGATCCCAATTTTGATTATGTAGTTTAGCCAAAAATTTTAGTGCTTCTAGAAATTTACCTTTCCTGAATACTTGCCTTTTGGGCATCTGGTCTACAAATCAGATTGTCCTGGATTACTGATGTATCCCTCATTTCCTGACCTCAGAAGCAGGACTATTAGAATATGACTGTTATGTGCCTTCTGTCACATACTCGACCCGCGTCACAAGCTTCCAAGCTCAGCTAGAGGTGACAATCCTCATGCACTCACGTACTGGCAGCAGGGCTCTCCCAATGCACATTGGGGAATGCATCAAATGAGGAGCTGGGTCCAAACAGTAGATTCCAGTCATGCATGCCATGAGCCAGCAACTTAGGCTGTGACCATAACTGCTGCCATTCAGGTGCAAAGGTACTTCCACATGCAAAAATGCCTCAGTGCCAATATGCACAAAAGTATATGTGTACCTATAACGCACAGCCCTATGGACATGGTCATCGTGGGGAGAGTGCTAAGTAATGCAAGCCTGTATGCCAAGGCAGAGAACATGGGAGAAGGGGACAGAAGGCTTCTCAAAGGCCTGGCCATTCATGAAGCATCATGGGCAGCAAGGATCCCAAATTACAGATAATGTGTCTGGCGTTTCTATAAAATATGCAAATATGCTTGGTTGTTACGTGTATGCAAGAATAAAATCATTTTTCCTTTTTGTCCAATGTGCTTACCTGTTATAGAGAAGAATGTCTGGCTTCCAAATCAGGCCATCTGGGAAACGAACAGTCTTCACGCCCGGATATTCTGACACATTCCACTGTAAATAGTGATCTGTCCAGGACTGAGACAATGACATTAACAGCTCTTTGCTTCCCTGCCTACTAGTATTTCTTCTACAAGATCATTAGACACATTCAAAGCCAAAACGAGATCCAGATACTTATTTACATAATTGAATTGTTATCTACAAAATATAAGCTGGGAATTAAATAATCTCTTCCAAAATGACCGTGAATAGCATAAAAGATCACATTTAAGATCCTGCTGTCACCATGACCACATTCAGACGGTAGCATTAAAGTTAATTCCGGTCCACTGTATGCCCCCAAGCCTTCCCCTCCCATGGCAGATGGGGTTTTTCTAGCCAAATGAATGACTGTTTTGCTTTCAAAGTTCTCCACTGAAAGGACACTTGGGAAAAATAAATTCATTTATTTCAACTGAAATACGAACTAAGCTGGAAAAAAAAGGAGAATATTTATTTCCATGAAACAATCTTGTGCAGTTGCTGGGGAACCTCTCAGAACCTTCGAAGGAGGGGTGTGTTTTTGGACTGGAATTCATATTTTCATGCAGGAATAGCGCTTCTGATGCCACAACCCAAAAATGCTAACACTCAGCCTTGGTGGTCAAACACTGAATCAAGACAAGGGTACAGATGAGGACTCAGGACATAGTCATAAACACACCAGAACAGGTGCATTTCCTCGGGGCCAGGCCTTAAGTTGGTTTTTGAGTGACTTCTGCCAGAGGAAGGCCCATGCCTGGGGTCCCTTGTCCCAAGACCACACAGCCCAGCCCTACCTGGGGTCCACTAGCTCTATAAAGACTGGTCAGGTAGGATCTCACTGGCAGCTGCTATACAAACAGCACCACCAAGCCAGGGTTGCAGAGCTGGCCCATTTGGACTTAGCAGCTCCTATATACGTGCCATAATCAGGGCAGACCCCAGTAAAGGCCCATCCTGTATCCAGTGTCCCTGGGGCCACCTGTACTCTGGAGCTCAGACCTTCTTAGACTTAGAAAGGTATGTGATGCAACACTTCCAGCTGGGACCAAGACAACTCCCCATAATCAAACATATCGCTATTTCTGCAGCAAAACATGCATACTGATACTAAGTCAGAAAAATAAGTGCCTCCCCTGCATATCTATTTCAGTTTGATTTTTAAACTCCATGAGCCTGATGCAAAGTTACCAAAACAACAAGGGGGACAAAAGTCCTTTAATTTTCAAAGCTGTTGAGATTTGGGAATTGCAGCCAAGTGGTAGTGGATCCCAGAGCATGTCCCAGAGATCCCACCATCCTCTAGAGAGGACAGGCAAGTATCCAGAAAGGCTGTCCCATTCTGGGACCATCTGAAGTCAGACAAGAGGGATTAACCAGGTGAGTAATGTCACTTTAAAGCCATGAGCCTCTGAGAATGAAGATTTGTCAATGTATAATGTGCTGGAGAGAAAGCCACCCCACTGATATTTCTAATTGATGTTGGTGGTTGGTGGAGGGAAGGGGAGGGGAAAAAAGGAGAGGGGAAGGACAGTTCCCAGAGGGCCAGTCTGTTGAAGCTGGTTTGCAGGAATGCCTGGGCATCAACCAAACTGTGTTTGCTCCAGCCTGCTCTGTCTCTGCACCATTGGCCCAGAGCTCCATTCTTTTTCCTCCTTTGTCCTGGGGACGACCCCTTCCATACCCAACACCCGTGATTTCCTTACTAGGATCTCATCTTACCCTGGGATGCTTCTCCGGGTTGGTGACTATCACAGAGCCTGTCACTGTCATTGTCACCACCATGCTAATCAGGGTCATAGGGCTCCCAGAATGACGGTGAGCACGGTAGGCAAATGCCCATCTCCCCCGCCTACAGAAATGATGGGCAGAGCAGGGAGGGAAGGCAGGGAGTGGAAGTGCTTGATTGGTGAAACCTCAGCCTCTTCTGATGGCACCACGTGTGAGCTGCAGGATGCCTCCCCAGCCATCTCCCCCTACCTGACTTACTCATGATCTTAGCTGCACGTGTCCCATGGGCATGTATCCTGACCATTTTCTTTGCTCCGTGTCGTGTGTACACCTCTCTTGCCAAGATCCAGGAATGCCAGCATGACAACTACTCATATTTACAAGAGGAGACTGGGGCACAGAGAAGCAACATCCTTTCAGTCAGTCACTGGGTCAGGACTCAGGACTGCATTATTTGACTTCAAGAAGAGTGATCAGTAGGCTCTACCATGGCTGATTCTTCCAATCCCATCTCTCTGCACTGGCAGACTTCCCACCACAAGGAAGTGGGCTGTTCATCATCCCAGAAGATGCCTTGCATCTGCTCAGTTGAAAGCCATGCTGGGTCTCCCCAACCCACAGGACAGAAAAGGTGGGCTGCAGAGAGAGGTGGAAATCAGGCAGACCCGGGTTTTCACCAAGGCTGTGGCAGAGCCAGGTGTGTGAGCTCAAGCAGGTTGTTAAACAAAAAAACACAGGCCCCAAATTACTTAGGCCAAGTCACCAAACTTGGGCTTAATACTTACCTGCAGTTTCAATCACCCCCAGAATTGTGAGCTTTAAAGGGTCAGTCAGGACTCTTCTGATCAGCATCAATGAGGTCAACTGTCACAAGGCCCTCTTCATCACATGAGGTGATCTGCTTAATAAGGCCCCCTGCCCTTCCCCCTAAGGGAAGGTGACCTTGCCTGAAACAATCCTTTCTTTTCTCTTGCTTATAACTTTCTTGCCCTGCCCTCCATCCTATAAAAACTTTCCATTTTGTACAACTCCTGGGAGTTCCTCTCTACTTGCTGGATGGGATGTTGCCCGACTCACGAATCAATCATTTAATAAAGCCAATTAGATCTTCAAGCTTACTCAGTTGCATTTTGTTTTTTCACAAGGTAAACCCCCTCTCTGAGCTGTGGCTTCCTCACAGGGCAGGGTGGTGCTGTAAGCATGAAATGTGTACAGCAGCAAGTCAGTCACGTGGCCCTGGTAGGCATGTGACAAATGATGGCTTAAAAAAAAAAAAAGAAAGAAAGAAAAAGAAAAAGAAAAAGAGGGATTCCTCCATCTCACAAGATACTACAGGACAGGAGAGCTGTAATAAGCAGGCTTTAGCCAAAGGTACAGAAGCACCATCAACTGGGCACAGGGAGCCCTGGGAGCGGGATCAGAGCCCAGGACCCCACAGGTTTCCATGAACATTTCTGAAGAATGAATATGTAAAAGGGCTTGTAAACAATCACGTTCCAGAAAGAGGTTTTCTATCCTCTCAAAGCACTCACTCCCCACTCAGATAGTAGGTCCCTGGAAGGCAGAGGTCCTGCAACAAATCTTCCTACAGACAGAGCCTGGCACATCGGGTACCTGATAATAAGTGTCAACCTAGAAACGAGGCCCACTTTCTTCATCTGAGATCAAAACAGTTGACTAGAAGACTTTTTAAAACACATATGTATGGAGATTTCCCACGCCAAGTACATGCTGTCTTTCACACCAACAACCAGTTCTCTGATTCTCTGGGCAGGAACTGGGTGTCCAGTCATTCAGTTCTATTCTGATCCTCTCTACCTGAAGTTAGTCTCAGATCAATACTCCCAGATCATCTGGAAGAGTCTTTGCTTTTCCTTCGCTTCCTATTTCTGTGGGATCCCCTCTCATTAAATCTTCAAGATATGATTATGTAGGGTTGTTACAGGGACATACAAGGAAGGAGGGGGTCCTGGATCTGAAACACACCACAGGAACCCCAATTCTTCCATGCGTCTGAGAACTGGTTTCATTAGCACCTACCTTGAGCCCATAGGAAACAAGTGTGTATGCATGCACGTGCACGGAAATATCTATAGCAGGAGAGTGAGAGAGAAGAAAGAGAACATTTTCTTTTTTTAAAAAAAAAAGTACATATGGTATAATACAAAACATAATTGGTCTGTCCCAGGTTCTTGGCACAGTGTTTCTAAAACCTTGGGAATTCCCTAAGGATAGGAGTGTCTCTTGTTATTCACATAGAGTTCCTTCTGAGCCCACCACAGGTTTCTAATGAGGTGAGGTGACTTAAGGTGGGACCCCTAGATCACCTCAGGTTGCCAGCATGCAGCTGGTCATCAGAAAGACCAAGCTTTGACTAGTGGGTGGGAACTTTCAGCCCCTCCCAACCTTAATATCCAGGCAGAGGAGAGAGAATGGAGACTGGGTTATAAAAACTCTTGAACAACAAGGTTCAGAGAGCTTCCAGATTGGTGAACAGGTGCCAGGACAGTAACTAGCCCACAGAAGGCAGAAAAGCTCTGTGCCTCCCCCACACCTTGCCTTATGCCTCTCTTCCATTCACTTGTTCCTGACCAGTATTCTTTATAATAAATCAGTAAATATAAGTGTTTTCCTGAGCTGCATAAGCTGTTCTGAATTTGAACCCAGCTGGACGGGAGTGTGGGTAGCCTGGACACCCCCTTTGCAGGTGGCACCCGATTTGGGGGCAGTCTTGTGGGACTGAGTCCTTAACTTGTAGGATCTGATGCTAACTCCAGGTAGAGAGGATCAGAATAGAACTGAAAGGGTGGACACCCAGTTTGTGTCCAGAGAATGAGAGAATTGGTTGTTGGTGTGAAAGAGCATGTACTTGGTATCAGAAAACTCCATACATATGTGTTTTGAAAATTCTTCTAGTCAACTATTTTGATTTCAGATGAAGAAAGTGGGCCTCCTCCTTCCTCCTGTCCCTGACAATTCTTTTCTGTCAGTATGACATAATGATTGAAATCATCATTAACTATGGGTTGTTATGAGGGCCCTAAGCAAGCCACTGGCCGGCTTGTGTAACAACGTAACATGCGGTATTTCTATGTATCAGAGATGAAGTGGTAGAAAATGCAGATTAAAAAGGTAAACATTTTAGAAATAAACATGGTTTACAACCTAACATTCTACAATGTGAATACTATTCATTCCATAATTAGAATCAGGAAGTAGAAAATAGAGAACATAAGAAGGATGGGAAACATAGAGCCAGAAGAATGGTCAAAATTCCAAAATAAGAGAGGCCAGATTCTTTTGAAAAGCACAG